AGGAGAGGAGAGGAGAGGAGAGGAGAGGAGAGGAGAGGAGGACATGAGGGAGCAGGAAGAATTTAGTCAGGGGAAGAATAGAGGAGAGCCACAAAAGAGATACCATAACAGAGGGAGCCATTTTAGGTTTAAAGAGAAATCTGGCACTAGGGAACTGTCCAGAGATCTATAAGGATGACCCCAACTAACAATCTAAGCAATAGTGGAGAGACTACCTTAAATGCCCTTTCTCCGATAATGAGATCAATGACTACCTTAAATATCATCCTAGAGCCTTCATCCAGTAGCTGATGGAAGCAGAAGCAGACACCCATAGCTAAACACTGAGCTGAACTCCTAGAATCCAATTACAGAGATGGAGGAGTGATGAGCAAAGGGGTCAAGACCAGGCTGGAGAAACCCACAGAAACAGCTGACCTGAACAAGGGGAAGCTCATGGACCCCAGAGGGACATCTGTGAAACCAGCAGAGGACTGACCCAGACCTCCTGAATGTGGGTGTCAGTTATGAGGCCTAGGCAATCTATGGGGCCTCTTGTTGTGGATCAGTATTCATTCCTCGTATACACATGGACTTTCGGAGCCCATTCCCCATAGAGGGATACTCTCTCAGCCTAGACACACCAGGGAGGGCCCGTGTCCTGCTCCAAATTATATGACAGACTTTGATGATCCCCATGGAAGGCCTCATCCTCCCTAGGGAGCAGAAAGGGGATGGGATAGGGTGTCATGGAGGGCAGAGGAGGAGAGGAGGGAGAGGGAACTGGAATTGACATGTAAAACAAGTTTGTTCCTAACTTAAATTTAAAAAAAAAAAGAAAAAAAGAATGGAGGACTTTGAAGAGGGCGATTGCAGTATGTTGGTACTGGCAGCACCACCCTTGGGAGGGTCCTCATATGGGTCAGCAAATGTTTTGGACTTTCTCCAAAACTATGAAGTAAATAAACACCATTCCTTTCTAAATTATCCAGGCTCATAAAGTTTGTTATAGTAATAGAAAATGAACAAATACAATGATCTATATTACTTACTTTATAACAGTGCTACCTAAAGTTAGCCTAAAAGATAGAAACCCATTTAACTCTGCTAAACATAAAACAAACTTTATCCCCAGTCACTATCTTTTTTAATACACACGTCAAAGTAAATAAAGAATTACAAAACTACATATATAGAGAGGCTAGAGATTTATTTTTCTAAGATACGGGGTTTGGATGTTCAAAATTTTAGATAGTTAATCCTTGTTTCCCTAAATTTGTTTTGAAGATGTAGCCACTTCTTCAGCATGCCACATGGTAGTTATGTGAAACAGAACTTTGTACATCATTGTGAATAATTTGAAAGCCCTTAAAAGCCCTTTACATGAGACACCAAAGAGTATATCTTGGCCATTGCCTTTGACTTCTACTCAGATTGTCAGAAACATTATTTCAACCTACATGAAGAAATGTTCTTGAGAGATTTTGTTTCACTAACTTAGAATAACACATTATAAAATTACAATGAGTATTTTAATAACTCACATTTGTTGATTGATTATATATTTTAAATATTATGTATAATCTAGTATGCTAGGTATTCCATTTTAGATATTGGAATCTGAAGTATCTGGCCCTACAAAGAGGGAACTGGTGTATTTCTCCAACAGTACTTGAAGGGTGAAAGGGCCCTGGACTAAGGAGACTAAACCACTGGTGGAGGAGGTTATCTGGCTGCCTGCAGCAAGAGCACAGGGGTTCCACCACCCACCCTGTTTAGTCTTCCAACAGGCCAACCTGTGGGTCTTTTGGGAAAAAAAAGATACAATTTTAGAAAAGGGCAATTATCCAACACAAATTTAGAAAGTTTTGTCCATTAGAATTAAGGACTATCAAAGTGCAAACAATAAAAAAAAAAGCCCACACTGTGTGTCATGTTTAATATTAATCTAAACAACTTCACCATGTACTTCTTTCAAATAATGGTACAGATTAAAAGTGACAGGGAAGGAATAGAGAAAAATTATCTGTGCATGATTAACAAAAGGACACAGTACCTGGAGAATTCCTTGGCATCTGAAGCAATAAAAACGTTTCTTCAAGCAGTTCCTGGATGTTGCTTTCCAGCTTCAGAAAGGATTGTGTTAGCTGTGATAAGAATTTGAGTTCATCTAAGGAGAGAGAAGAGCGCCTTGGCTTTTGTGGGCATGCAGAGCTGACTGTGAAGAAAAGGTGGACACTGTTACACATTTTACTGACTTCTTGGGAAAGTGTTAGAATAGTCTATTTGATCTCATATACCATAAATTGACAAGAGCTTCATAATTTAGACAAGCTTGTTCATTAGGAAACATATATAAAATCTCCTAGGAGAATCATTTCTTTCAAGAAGCTAGAGATAAATATCATCTTTGATACAATTATAGCAAATAGTTAGCTTAACTCAGAGTTATAAACAAGAATTGTTCTGTTATAAAATTGACATCTTATACAACTGTAACTTTTTAAGTCTAATAAATATAATTTGACTCCAATTATGAGGAAACATCAGACAAATTCAAATTAAGGGACATTCTGCAAAACAGATTGTTAGTACCTTTCAAAAATATTTGTGCCAGAAAACCAAGTCCCAGAAATGTTACAGTGTAGAATCGTCCAAAAGACATAAAACTGAAGCCATTATTTGAGCAACATTTTACTTTACTACCAGGAACATCATGCTAACAATATCTACAATCTAATTATCTTATTGCATGCTTCTTAATTTCTTGGTTTAATATTGAACTGTATTTATGAAAAAGATACTTTTCTTTTGAGATCATATATTCTGCAGAATATAAGCATAAATGTCCACCATGTAGTCTTAATTATAAGAATAGTTTTGAGGAAAACTATTTAAAAAGAGGGTAGGGAGAGAGGCAGAAAGTTAAACGAGGAGCCACAAAATGTAGACTTGTAGTAAAATAATAATACTTGTGCATTTGATGACTCTGGATATCAAAAAAATCAGGAATTTTCCCTGGTACTCAGACAGCCTTCTTTATAAATATGAAATTTAAAATATAAAAAAATCTAAAGAATAGATGTAACTCCTCAAACTGTTCTGTATGTATGTTATTTTTATATCATTATATATATAAATATATAAATATATATATATATAATATACATATTATATATATAAATGATAACATTTTTATATCATTAAAAAGAAACAAATCAATGTGGCAAACTATATATATATATATATGTATATATATAGTTTGTATATATATATATTCCATAAAGCTATGTTTAAAATTCACTCTTGTCTGAAAAATTGTGGTTTATATTTTATGAATACAAATACAACTTAAACAAAGATTGATGTATTATACTACTAGTCAAATCACACTTCCATTTAATTACAATAGAAAACAGGATACATTTAGGAGTAGAGAGGGTTTCTGCACTAGGCACCTTTAATTTCAATTTGTTGCTTTTGTTTTAGAAATGTATCACCAGATGGCACTTCTGACTATATGTTCAAGGATTTAAAGAATCTTTCTTTTATTAATTCCATTTCTTGAAACATATTTAAAAGGATTAACTGTAATTAGAAAATTCATAATCTCAGTATAAGCATCTGGTGATGTTAGCAGAAAAACATGAAGGGTGACAGTCAGAAACGGAAGGGAGCTGATGAGGTCACGTGGAAATACAGATTGCTTTCATCACATGTTTAGAAGGAAGGCTTCAGAAAGATACAATTTTACAGGTCCATTTGACTTCAGTAAAAAAGCTAAGGCACTGGCACCGAACTTAAATCATCGAGGACCAACCAAAACTATTACTTTATCTTGGCAAGTGATCTGAGAAATCTAGTTACAAAATACAACTGTGGAATTGAGTCCTATACCTAAAAAGCAAAACCACCTATAACTTCTTACAAAAACTCTAAATTCATCTCCACATTAAACATCATCCGTCATTTTTAAAAGTCTCCAATAGCTCATCTTCTACCTATGATTGTTCTAGAAAGATACACAAGCACAAAAACTGTACAAGCAACATACATAACAAACATTTTCCAAAAAAGTTATGTTCCAAAAAAGGAAAAGAAAAGAGAACTATAATATGTCCCATATAGTTGCTGAGCAATTCTTTATCTGGCTGTTTGATGTGTGTATGTGAATATGCTTATGTACTCGTGTGAACAAGGAAACTAGAGGTCAACTTGGGTGTCCTGAGGGAGCTGTTTACCTTGTTTAGTAATAGTCTCTCACAGGGCTCCTAGTTTAGGCTTGGCTGTAGTGCTGTCCTAAACATCACCAGAGCTTGCTTTTAAGCTTTACTTATGCAAATAAGGGGCTAGTAATCTTTTAAAGCCCTCACATATTTTAAAAACAACTCCCAAATTCTTTAAGTATTCTTCCTAATGATTTATTAGGCAAGGCTACTCAATAGTGTGATTCGGAATTAAACATAAAAGCCTTTATCTGGCTCAAATTTAAGTTTAAGGTATTACAAATATTTTTAGAATAAGCAATGAAGCCACTTAAGTAACATCTTCAAGAGCTGAAATACTATAACCTAAATGCCACTTGTCTAAAATCACGTAGGGCTTGTGGATTCTCCATGAAGAGAATTTACTTTCATGACTGGGAGTTACAAGGGCCATGTATTGTAGACATACAACAATATTAAAGGCAAGTCCTTTTTAATTTGGTGACTCTTTACAACATACTAAAGAGGACCAAACAGTATGTATGACCTAAATCTAATCATTTTTGTCCCAAAGAAACACTGATTACTGAGGAGTCTCATTAATTAGTAGGCCCTTATTTCCTACTGTTCTTAGAGCAGAATTCTCCCAAGGGGCATTGTGAGGATTCTTAATTTATGTAGAAAATAATTCTGTGACAGATTCATTTTGTGAAAGGCCAACTAAAGCAAAATTAGACACAAAGGACAGAATTGCATTTGCCCAAACTTACTTACTTTCTCCACACTATCTCACAGGACCTGTGTCATAATCACCACACTTTACCTCAGGAATTCTCTCACTATGCCTCCTAGACTCTCCCTAGTAACCAGATCAGGACAGGATGTCTTCAAGCAGAAATTTCTTTCATATTGTTTCTTTTATTATTGTCTTCCGCTCTTCTTTCAATGCTATTTATTAGTTTATTCTTCTTCAAGCCTCCTTCTCAGAAAACTTCATCTGCATATCATCCTTCCCAAACTAAGCCAATTTAGCACTTATTTATTCATTAAATTATTGGTTTATTTAATTAATTATTTAAATCACAATGAAACTGTCCTGCTCTCAGTGAAGTTTAGGCACACATGATTATATACAAGGAACCGTATTTGACCTACACTGCCAACAATTGCTGTCTGAATTAATAACCATTGTTTTTATGTGATGAGCTTGGATGATATGCACAGAAAACATTAATTCTGACAAAAATATCAGAATTACAAGGCAAAAATAAAATTTCACTTGGAACAAGACTACATAAAGGAGCAGTGATTGCAAATGATAATAAGGGTGAGGTGGCTATTCTTTCTAATAATTTCTTTCCTAAAATGCAGCATGGAATACTGTACTTTATTTTTATATTCATTTTTAACTCATATTATTTACTTTTATAATATAGTGAAAACTTTAAAAACTGAATGCTTCTCAAATGTTTCTGGCCAGGGAACACCAGGCAATTTTCCAACAAACCTGTTAACTTTTGAGATTTTTTGAGGAAAGGAGTGCACCTCTCTGATGCCTGGAGCATGTCTACTGTGTGGTTTTTTCTTCCACTGGTAGGCCTCTCATTGTGAGTTTGTGACTGATTTTGATAGATACTCTTTTCCCCTTGTGACCTGTTGCTATTAATGTCATCACTATACATTTTTAGAGACACTTTTGAAAATTAGTGAGTATATCCTAAACCCTTCTAAGATGATCTTGTGGAAAAATATCCACAAAATCTGTTTGAGGGCTAAGGGAAAACATCCGAGCACCATGTATGGCTCGGAATGAATGGAATAGTCCAGGATCCTACTGAGCATGTGCAATGGGTCAAAGTAAACACTTAGCACTGCAAATAACTATGATAAGAATAATCATAATCCCAGTAATCATTTTTAAAATAATAATAAAAGAATTATTGTTTGCTGGGGTAAATGGTACTAGCAGGGTAAATAAATCCCTGCACTCTGGAGATGCTGGCAAGAGGATTGTAAATTCAAGTTCAAGGCAATTCTGGACAATATAGCAAGGCTCTTCTCAAGACAACAAACATACAAATCCTTTATGTTGGAAGATTTCTCTCTAGGTATCACTAGAGGTAGGTTATGATCTTAGAAAGTCACCTGAAAAGGTGATATTTTGTAAAAACAAAATAACCTATAAGAAATTTCTTTTTATTAAAGAATTAATAGGCTCACATTTTAAAAATTAATTTTAGTTTGGTATACCAAGTAATGGATTTCATCATAAAAAATGCCCTCCACTGGGGCCTTCGTTTGGGAGCAGAGGCGAAGGAAGGTAGATAAGAACAGAGTATAAACACACATACACACACACACACACACACACACACACACACACACACACACACACCTATGTAAAAAGCCAAGAGAGAACAGAGTATAAACACACATACACACACACACACACACACACACACACACACACACACACACACACACACCCCTATGAAAAGGTCGAAGAGGAACCCATTCCTTTCTCCTTTTATGCTGACTTAACAATTTATTGTTAAAATTGTATCTTTATTATTTCTGGAAAAAACATGGGGCAGGTAGAGGAAACTTTAAAGGGAACATCCCATGCAATTGCCATGAGCAAAAGAAACCTTGTTGGAAAAATAAATAGTAGAAGCTTATTTTTATGACTGTGTATGTATGTGTGCATGCACTCATGTGTGTATACATGATAATGTGTTTGCAGTTGTGAGTGTGTGTGCATGTTAATGTGTGTGCAGGTGTGCATGAATATGGTGGCCAGAGTAAAATCAGCCTCAGGAATGTTGTTTTCCTTGTTAGAGGAAGCCATTTTGGTCTGCAGCTCAACAATTAGGCCAATGTAGCTAGCTAGCAAGCCCGCCCCCAGGGTTCTTCCTCTTTCTGCCTCCCCAGAGTGGGATTTTAAACCTGTGCTGCAGCAATTGGCATCAGCTCAGATGGAACTTGAGTTCTCGTACTTGTGAGGCAAAATTGC